CCGGGTGGCGGCCGAAGCCTACTCTTACCGATTTTAGACCACCAAGGGATCTTTAACGTGCGCAACTTGCACACGGGCCCTCCGAGATTTTTTGCCCTTGTCCGAGAAGGCTAGGGGCAGATCTTTCCTACCAGAAGATCAGGGGTGTGGCAGAAAGACAGCAGTAAGGAGGAGCCAAGGAGTAGCAGTAGCAAGGCTGCAGAAAGAGTCAGGAGCCCAGATGAGGGGGGCAGATGTTTGGAAAAGTGCGGTTTGATATTGTGAGAAAAAGTAATTAATACATGTACAAATGTTCGATCATTGTAGATTTCTACTTGTTTTTATGCTTACGCTAAATCATATTAATTACTATGTCGGAGCTGGTTCATCGTAGTTATGGTCATGTTTATAGCAACATGGCGTATGGGACTTCTGGTGGAAAGGGTGGGGGGAATAAAAGTTAAAGTGGAAAAACCCCATATAGATCTAGAACTTTTTAAATTAATGCTGAGACCAACTGATGACAATTTTTTTTCTTTTCATGTACTCAGGCTTTAATCATCTGGACACCTATTTTATTCGATTTTAACAAACGAATCTTTTGCTATGGCAAGATTTTAATTTGTAAGTGTAAGACTTTTTAAAAAAGAATATATAGTTTAAAAAAAGGACAAGCCAGGCAGTAGCCAGGGGATACATTCAAAACATCAGTGGTTAATGAAAAAAAAGAAGCAGATGAAGATAACTTCGTCTACTGTTGTATTTGGGGTTGGTGTTATGACATTTATATCAAGAACAGTTTTGTAATCATTTAATTTTTCACTTATTTTTTAAATACATGTATATATCAATCATTATGTACATAGGCCGTGAAATCTCAAAGTTCTTTGGATGACCAATTTGGCACATAATCCGGAAAACATTTTCAAGGCCAAAAACAATTTTGAGACTTCATTTTATAACCATGGTTTAGAGATCACTTTTTCTTTTCCTATGACCATTTATATACACTGCGTGTTCTTCAGGCTCCTAATATCCATGAAAATTCTTGTCGAAAAGTTTGCCCCTCCCCTCGATAATTATTCGAAACTAGAACTCTGCTTGCTTTTTCATAAACCAAGGGGCATAACTGTATATTAAAAAGTTGGATGAGATGAAAACTTTCAGCCCGTCGTCCGCTGAACTTCGCGACTCGCGACACGTCTCGGGGGTGAAGTGAGAACACTCCCACTTCTGAATTTCTGATTACATGTCTTTGATGTACCGTGCATGAAACATTGAGTGGTACGTAAGTTTCCTTGTTTCTTTGTCATTTTTGTTGATCTAGTCTAATCGTTCACTTGAACTTGTGATTGTGATGATTTGTTACAGTTCACATCACAGTAGTTCAGTTCACTAATAAAACGAGAAGATGAAGAGGTGGTAGACAGTCTTAGTCTTAGTCTTAGTGTAAGTGTAACTCACTGAGTTAGAAGTGTAGTAGTGCTGTGTGAAAATTAGTAGACTTGAGAGATAGAACAGGAGTAATAAATGAAGAAGAATAAGTACAAAAGGCTCTCCAGGGTATTTTTTTAAACTTTCCCTCCCGTCTCACACTTTTAGCCTATCTTAGCTGGCTACCAGTTGTCCATTTTCTACTAGATTTTTAAATATTGATGCGCTGAACACGAGTACCAACTTCATTTCCGTTGCAAATTAATAGTTTTTTAAATATCTGATTGTGTAATCGATATAGAAATCTAGACATGCTTTGGACCAATGGGGATGGTTCACCTGCCCCCCCCCTGAGGTAAAAGAAAATAATTTGTATTTTACAGTTAGATATCTAGAATCTAGATTTGAAATTTTCTTGAAAATAAGTGATTTGCAACAGTTTTAGTGGCTTTATGTGTGATCTGCAGCAAACAGTATTGCAGTTTGACACCTGAAGCAGTGCATCTTTGTGTGCAGGAGGGAAAGTAAAAATTTTCCCTCGCCGGTAATTGTTTAACTTTCTCACGTTTAATTCCGGGGGAGTAGAATATTGATCTACCTCCTTAACAAGCGACCATCTGAACTCTTGAATTACTTGAATCTAGAACTGGGGTCTTAGGAAGACGGGATGCTCCATTCTTCCTCGCCCCTCTTCATGAGGGTCCATTTCAGTTCAGTGTGGGCAGGCTGATTGTCTCCGTCATCAGCTGGTTGGTGTAGCGTCTGATAGGGTCACGCTTCCTACCTTCACCAAGCTGCACTCCTTTCGAAATCACAGCCTCCTTCATGAAGGAATCCTCGTTGCGGCTGCTGGCTAGGTTTTCTCGGACAAGGGCTACTACAGTTGGATGGGTCATGGGTACGCACTCCCTCTATGTTTGCGGAGCCTGTTAGCTTATCTGCTCTTTTATTTCCCTTGACACCTGCTTGTCCTGGGCAGAAGATCCACTGCAAGCGTCTGATTTTGCTGTCTTGGATTGTCTTAAACCAGTCTGCATAAAGGGTGCCGGTCAAGATCTTGTCTTATCCAGAGTACTTATTGAGTCTGTAACAAAGGTAGCCTCGTGGTATCCATTGGTGCAATGCCATTTCAGAGCCTCAGTGATGGCCTTGATCTCCATGCACACAGGATGCTTGATGTAGTGAGGCCCGTTGGCCCAGATATCTCCTGGACTGTTACTCCTTGGCAAGAAGCCGTGTAAGCCCAGCCTGATTTGATCCCACGCTGAACAGAACCATCAGTGAATAATGGTTTCAACCTCTCTGCAGTTCTCTTCAATTAGAGTCTGGACTCTGAACTAATATTATTCTTACTCAACTCAATAACTCAATGGCAATGGCCATCAAAATCAGTACGGAAGGCCTAAAGCCAGTATGTTACTAGATCTAGATTTACCTCAAATGCCTAAATTACTGTGGTTTACGTGTATTCTTAACTCCAGGGCAAAGTTTTGAATATATCCAGTTGGGGATGCGTAGAGTTTCGTCTAGATCTAGATCTTAGCGCGGCCAGAATTAAACGCGAGAAAGTAAACAATTGCCGGCTCGCCTACCGAGTTCTGATTTCAAGATCTAGAATCTAGGCTTAATCTAGAATCTAGATTTTTTTTAGATTGTTGTTGTGAAAGTTGGTCTTGAATCAAGACTCAAGACAAGGACCTGTGGAGAGTTTCAAAGAGGGGGGGGAGGGGGGACTTCTGTAACGAGCGACCGCTTTTAGACGGAGTAGAACAGAGGGGCAGGGGTAGGGTAGGGTTTGTTGGTGTGGGTAGGGTAACTTAGGTTTGGGGTTGGGATAGGGTTTTGGGTAGAGTTAGGGTTAGGTGTCTTCTTTATTGTTTGTTAGGGTGGGTGCTCGTTACAGAAGTACTTCCCAAAGAAGTTGTTGTACCCTATTTTCCAAAAGTTCTTCCAATGATAAGCAGGTTAAATACTGGAAAAAAGAATACAGTCAAACCTGCCATGATGGCAACCTGTATAGCCTGACACAAACTCAAAAGCAGGGGATCCTATAATTTATACAGATGGTTCAGTGAAAAGAGATAGCCAGAGAAGTGGATGGGGATTTGTTGCATTCGCCAACAATAAAATCATACACAGTGCATCTGGAGCCTGCAGCAGGACTACATCAAGTATGCGAATGGAAATTGAAGCCATCACAAAAGCACTTGACTGGATGACCCAAGATCGCCCCCACACAACCCATGCTGTTCTTATCACTGATTCCATGTGTACCCTCAGAAGGATCGAAAAAGGTTTCCTGAGAACGGAATGGATTCAGGCTGTCGAACCAGCGCCTATACGATCGCTCACATGGGTTTTCTGCCCTGGCCATGCAGGTGTTAGGGGAAATGAAAAAGCCGACAGATTGGCTGGTGAGGCCACCTTAGTTGACAATACGGTTCAACCAGATAGGGTCGAGATCCTGAAATGTCTTTCTCGCCAACTGATTGAGGAGGATGATAGGGAGGCAGAGGCCAGTACTGCCGTGGAGAGGATGATGCTTTTGGGAATAAAAAAAGGAAGCGGAAAATCTGGCATCCTTGCAAGAAAGAACAGAAGAACGTTCAACCAGATGTGCACTGGCACAATCAGTAGAGGGACCCTCGGCAACATTTTGGAGAGAGCAACGGAGTATCAATGGACATGTCCGGAGTGCAGGGATGTTGCTTCCTGAAACAAGAACAAGAACAAGATAATACAGCCACAATTAATCTACAAAGGGCCGCTTTCCATTTCCCACCATTGCGTTTTTTCTATATATAGTTTAACTGTGTAAAACGGTCACCTGTCCAACGCAGCCGCACTCACCTTATTTTATCAACCTACGTTCAAATTTTCCAGGCGTGGTCACTCATTGCCTGACACTTTCAAAAATGTTTTAACAGTCCCTCACGCTGTGGATGGACCATCATAATTCATTCACCTGTTGTTATTGTTAGTCCCTCCAATGAATGTTTACTCAAGGTGACCAATGGGTAGGCTTAACAACTGCTGGTGAGGGAAGCGTGATCCATTATAACCTATATAAGCTCCGCCCACAACTCATGTACAAATTGTGTGTGGGGTGACTGGTCACTGATTTGTTTGCCTAATCTGTAACAAAGTAACAATGGACGTTGACGTGAACTTGCGACAGAAGAGTCACTCGTTTTCTGAGTGGTGGCTACCCTTGTCTTTGTCATACCATGGCACTCGGTCTTCATAGTTATTTCGTTTGTTTTACCCTTGCACAAAATCTGCAACAAAAAGAAAGCTATCCAAAAAACAAACCAACAAGACGAAAAAAAACCCAACCTTTCTTACATCACCCACCCCCCTTTTTCAAAAGAAAACAAAAACCCTTTTGAATTCTCCTCACGCCAGTCCTAAGCCTTAGTTAAATCAGCCCCAGTTTGAACCTCAGAAGAGAATGATTTGCTTTCTTAATTTTGATCAGTCCTGCCTAAGACGGCCTCCTGTGTTATACCGCCACTTTTTTCCTTGACAATGGGTGGCTGTTTTACACAGGTTTGACTGTACTCTTGAGCTTGCATTTATTATTGTAAAGGAGCCATTTTCATCCTGTATGTTTTTCTTTCCAAAATATTCCAAAAATGAATTTTAAATAACTTTTTAGGGAGGTTAGATGGCTGAAGGCATCATGTGGTTAAATAAAGATTTGCACCCACAGTAGGCTTTTTAATATTCCATGATATGATTAATTTGCTTGAAGAAAGTTGGGTTGTTGTTTTTTTTCAAAATGGTCTTTCTTATTTACCTCCGCCTCCTGATACCCTTTAGTTTTATGATAGACAAGGCCACCGGAATATGATGAATTATGGAATTTCTCCCATTATCTAAGCCTTATCTTGAAATAAGATAACAGCTAAAACAAATGTATAAGACTGGTAAAGGAGTTTTTTAAAAACTGTCTGAAGCGCTTAGTGCATGAAACACCGTGTGAGGTGCCAGGTGGTACAAAACTGATCTTGAAAGGGTGAATGTTAGGCCTATGGATCCGGCTGTGATTTTTATTTCAGAGGGATGTTTTATAGATAATGAGTATAGTTGCAGAAGAGTCCGCATGCCTTTAAAGAAAGGAAAAGAGTAAGTTGTGCAAATTATTTTTATGAAAACCAGTACTATTCATAGCCTACATGTTCCTCTAGGACAGCCTACGGTGGCCTACCTCTTTTATTGATATTTTTCGTCAGTTTTTCCCAATTTCCATTACCCCTGGCGAATATTTGAGTTTGAAATGTTGTTCATAGTTTCAACATCTTGGCCTTTTGAAGTGTATGGACCTGTTTTAATGGTGATAGATTTACTCTATGCTATGTTGTGGAATGTTTTGGGTGTTCTAGGGTCTGCTAGGGTAAGAAAATAGAACATGCTGTAGAGTGTGGATATGGGCTCTACTAAATGCAATTTTCTTCTTCTTCTTCTCCTCCTCCTCCTCCTCTTCCTCCTCCTCTTCCTCCTCCTCCACCTCCTCCTCCTCCTCCTCTCTCTCTCTCTCCCTCCCTCTCTCTCCCTCCTCCTCCTCCTTTTCGTCTTTAAATTATGTTTAACCTGAATGAGTGTTGCTTGTTGCATTGTTTGTTATTAACTATATTATTTTTATTCAAACTTCTTTTGAAACAGGTCTTTGAGTATTATGAAAGCATGATGTATATATATATATATACATTTAAAATGTGTGAAGCTGCTGCGGGTTTGGCACTCAGAATTCTTTTTCAGGAGTGCAGTTTCATACAATTTTTTATTACTTGGTGAGCACCTTAAGTTTGAAATACAGTCTAGTGCTTATGCACATAGCGAACAAGTTTTCAG